GAGAAAAGAGAACTAACAGTGGCAACTATTCAGGGATCTCTTAACACAAGTGCACATATTGTCATGTAACTCTGAATTGTCAGGAAACTGAGGAGAAAATGTTGGCCAAAATGCAAAACCCAAGGTAACATATCGACCCAGAGCTAGAGAACTAAAAGATTCAGAATTGTAGCCATCATTTTAAGAAGGGCTCCAGAGCAGACACAGAAATATCAAGGGCATCTCATTTTTATAACATACAGGATCAACAAATACTTCAGAAAATGCTGTAAAAGGAGAAAAGCAAGAATGTTTGTGTAAGGAAAACATTCCCTATTAAATCTACTTAAATGCTTTTAGGGGATAAAGATGCCAACAAGAAACTAGCAAGGACTTCTTTTATTTAGACTTTCAAAAGCTTTGACAAGCTATCTTACCAAATTTAGTCATGGGGACTCAGTAGACTGCTTTATCATGTAAGAGAAACTGGTTCACAAGACAGAAACATCATGCCAGAAAAGAGGCTCATGTCCCAGGGTTGTCTCAGGGTTGAGGCTGAGATTATAAACGGTTGGAAGAAGGAGCACAGTGAAATCTTTACAACCAAAGATGATATTTAGCTCCTTGGAGTAAAGAAATTACCAAACTGATGAGAAAAAAAAAAAAAAAAAACACTAAAAGATGTAATTTTGCGTGACAAAGAAAAAGGTAAATGAGTTTTTTAATTCAAGGGATTTTATTTCAGAACACACATCTAAATTTGAAATATATAATAATGCAAATATATGTTAATTGAGTTTCAAGTTATCTGTCATAAACCAAGGAAAAGGCTCATGACATAGGAAAAGGAGTCATTATAGTAATTACAGTTGTCAGCTGCTCTGCAGGTGGAGCCCAAAGGCTGACATCATACTGCAGAAGTTGGGTTATAACATGATGTGATTAATAACCATCTCTTCATGTCCGCTTTGTGCCCGGCACTGTGCTGTGAGCTTCCTTTGTAGAGTGCCTATGAATTAGATACCGTTATCTCCATTTAGATGTAAAGAGACTGAGGATCAGGGGAATTGAGTACATTACCCACAGGTAATGTGGCTAGTAAGTGGTTGAGCCAGGATTTGAATTCATAGATGTCTTCTTCCATAGTCTGTACAGTCTTATAAAGATGATAGGAAACCAAAGAGAAAAAAAAAGTTGAAAGATAGAAAGAGAGGTGGGGGGAGAAAGATGATGGTAATGATAATGATCATAGATAGAGACAGACTTATTTATGTCTATCTCTACTTTTCTCCCCATGAGAAAAGTATTCTTCCCTAAATGCAGAGTACTATGTATACCTTTGTTTCTTGGATCCCAGAAAGACGGAAAAGGCACCTGAAGAGACACCATCAAGGGGTGAGGAGATTTTCATGGTGGAAAGATGAATATTCAGAAGAAATACAATCTAAGCCTGTCAAGGCATGAAGGACAGAGATGAGAATGTTTTTTAGTCTTGTTGTCACCTGCTCTGTGTGGGGTTTTGTGCTAGTTTTTGCATGCTGTCTCACGGAATACTCACACGTCCCTCCTTTGTTACAACCCCCATTCAACAGTGAGGAGGCAAGGCTTCCGAAGTGTTAATTAGCTTGTCCCCAACCCAAATCAAGCACCCATCAAATAACAAAGCAAAAATTTAGGCTGCGGGGAGCCTTTCTACTTCACTGAGGATTAAGGAAAAGAAAAAGGAAAAATCTTTTGAATGCATGGTGTGTGTTTTTCCTTAAAAAAAGCACTGGATGAAAATAGATTTCAGAACAATTTGTACAAATTCATAGACCAGATGCTCATGACAGGTTATTAAGTCAAATTATGGAAATTCAGGCCTATGTACAACTTTAAATTTAACCTCCTATGGGACAATGATCTGATTTTTCTGTGACCTCTCCTCTGGTGTTTTTGTAAACAATTTTAATACTGGATCAGTGGACTCAGGTCTGCTCTGGAAGACAATTCTGGCAGAAATAGAACCATCAAACAGGAGTTGAGAGTCCAGTTCTGCTGCCAACAGACAGTGGTGAGGTCCCAAGCTGGTTATATGTCCTCTATGGGGCATCCCTTGCTATAGCATGAGGATCTGGACCATTTGACCTTCAAGCTAGTTCAGCATTTTATGGAATCTTCAAGACCCAGAGGAGCCTGACCTGTCTGCCTTTCAAATCTCCCCACAAACTCTCCTTAGAAGTGTTTCAATTGGCTATTAAATGACTGATTAAAAAACATCATTATTACAGATAATTTTAATTATTCTACACAGTGAAAATCAAATCCCAGATCTATGGCCCCAGCCCAGCAAGGCTTCCAGCCGCATCCAGATGTCCCGGGCCACCAGCCAGCCATTAATCTGTGGGTGCTCCATGAAGCCTTACACAATTAGGAAAGCAGATCTGTCAGAACAGTAACAACAGGAATGAAGAATGTCAAGGCTAAGGAGAAATTATTTTTAGATTTGCTATCTTAGATGATCTGTATTACTGCTCACATCCACATGTCCTCAGAAGAAATGTCAGCAAAGGGAAATCTGAGAATAGAAATGCCTAGGAGAGTACAGGTAAGTTCTGGACAGGGGAAGGTAGGAGATGTGGGAAGAGGTTGTGTCTTACGTGAGAAGAATTTTTAGGAGAGTGATAAGTAAGGAAGACAGTATAGTGGATAAGACCATGGACTAGCAGGGACTAAACTGCTTGAGTGAAAACCTGGCTTTACTGCTAACTAGCTTCATGACATTTAACTCTTTTAGGCCTCAATTTCCTCACCGGTAAGATAGGTACAATAAGAGTTCACATACCTCATCAGATTGTTGCTAGGATTAAGTGAGTTAAATGTACTAAGTCCTTATGAGCATTTGCCTGACACTCTCTTAGCTATTACTGTTGAAGAGTGAGAATATAGACCTTCTGGCCCTGGAGGAGGAAGTGGGTGTTTTCTTTTCCCCCTGTAGCTTCTCCTACTAGGCTGGAGCCTGGTTTTGAACAGACCAAATTGTTGAAGTTGTGAAAGTGTCTGTTTCCCTTCTCCCTCCCAGGGAAAAGACATTTCTAACATACATTCCTAGAGTTTGTGACAAATCCTCCTAAAAACTCTAGACAAAGTAGAAATACTCAGTCTCCTTTTGATTGAACTAAACTGTCTGGCTTGCATTCCATGGCCTTGTTTGTAAACGTGGTATACCTTGAGCTTAGAGTTACTGGAGCCACTGCCCAGCCTTCCACGTCATCTCCATTTCTGTGAAGCATAAGCATGAAGGCGAAAGAACTGGACTGTCTGTGTTTCTCTACCCCCAACACCCTGCTTCTCTAAGGAGATGAAAAGGAAGAAGTAAAAGACCGAGGGGTAAGCAGAGTGAAGAGAGCCGGTTACTTCAACAGCTTCGTCCTGTCTGAACCTCCAGGACAGTCAGCCTTCTCTCTCTTGGTCACACCCACAGCTAGGACACCTGGCAGGGAAGAGGCACTCAACGCAGGTTTGTTAAATTTGTCCAGGTGGCTGAATATTGGGGGAAAAATGATGGGAAGTGATTCCACATCCCTCAGACCCACCCACAACCCCACCCTATTCCTCCTCCATTGCAATGCAAACATCTGTTTGAAGGCATTCCCCTCCGATGATAAAAAAGAGAGCACAGGTTGACGCTGATAAATAGAAATCCCCAGAACTATCTCAGAAAGGAGCATTAATAGCAAAAGCCAAGCTCTTTGCATTCTTTCTGGTTCTTGCATCCAATTTACCTGTCGCCCATGGCCCAGCTTTATTGCTGTTGCACTCTGTAGTGTAACAACGGGCACAAACTCCACTTCCAACACTGATTATAGACAGTGACTCAGAGTCACTAAGAGGAAATAATGGTTGAACTTACAATTAAAATTAAAAAGAGATAACATTAATAACTACTGGAAAAATCAAACGTCCTCCTCTAGTTGGCGTGGGCTTGAATTTCTTACCACCTCATGTTCCCTGACTCCAGAGGTTTATAACAATTGCAGCCAACCCACACGCTATCAAATGTTCTCCAAATGTTGCCTGCATGAGTCACTGGATAATGCTTAGAAAGAGACTGTGTTCCGACAGCATATCTGGAATGTACTGCTCCCTCTGAAGGGCGAGTTAAGACAGATACACATCACTTTTTCCCATGCTGGCAGAGTATTAGTAAGACTGTTAGGACATATTGTTCCTGATGTGCCCGGTTAGGCCTCTCTGCTAACCATCCCCTGCTGCCTAAGTGTCTGCCTCAGTGCCAGGCACAGACTCGGGTCTCTATTTAAGGCTAAATCAATATGGACTGACTGACTGATGCCAGTGACCTTTTTTTACCAACCTCAGATGGGGTCGTGGGAATTTCTGGATTCAGCCTCAGGAATGCAGATTCTGGTCCTAACCTTCTGTGAGCAGTTAAGCCCTTCATCCTGCTCCTCCCCAGCTTCTTTTTTTTTTTTTTTTCTCTTTAAAATTTTGAGGCTGAATGAGATGATGGCTAAGACCCTCATCTGCATTACGTCTTTGTGATTCTGAGACACTAGACAAGCAACTCAGAAGTGGCAGAGTAGAGCAGGGAGGAGGAAATAGAGCCTAAAGACACAGTTCCTGCCTCGGGGAGCTGAGGCTGAGGTGGACTAATACCGGTGGCTGTATAGGACCCACAACATACGTGGAGTCTGAAGAGAGGGGATTCTTCATAGGCGGAGGTCAGGAGAGATGCACTGTAAAGGAAGGGCCTAAAATCAAGGTTTCTTTGGAAGCAGCATGTTGAGAAAGCACCTGTAAGAATTCTAGCCCAGAGGCAGGAAAAACTGGACCATTGTTTAGAACAAGTTAATAAGACGTCCCTCATGGGGAGGGGGGATGGGAATGGACCCATCAACCCACCTCCCTCTCTGCAGCCCTACTCCCTCCTACCCTCTAAATTCCACCCAGCCCTTTCTTCACCAGCAGCGCCCGAGGAGCGTAGCCCACAACCTCTCCCTTCCCACATTCCTTTCCCACAGGTACCCCTGGGCAGCCAGTGCGCGGACAGCGCCCGCAATGCCACCATGCCCTGCGGCTTTCTCCCGCAGGGCTTCGCGGAGTCTCCCCACCTGGGGCTCATGCTCTTCCTGCTGCTGCTGGCCGTGCACCTGGCTACCCTGAGCAGGAACCTGCTCATCCTGGTGGCCGTGGCCTTAGTGCCCAGCCGGCCGCCCATGCTACTCTTCCTGTGCCAGCTGTCAGCCATCGAGCTCTGCTACATGCTGGCGGTGGTGCCCCGCTCCCTGGCCCACCTGGCCTCGCCAGCCAGCCCCATCTCCTTCCTGGGCTGCACTGTTCAGATGCAGATGTTTGTGGCTCTGGGCGGGGCCGAGTGCTTCCTGCTGGCCGCTATGGCCTATGACCGCTACGTGGCCATCTGCCACCCGCTGCGCTACGCGGCTGTGGTGGCACCTGGGCTGTGCACGCGGCTGGCCCTGGCCTGCTGCTGCCTCGGGGGACTTGTGGTGTCCGTGGGGCTCACGGTGGCCGTCTTCAACCTGCCTTTCTGCGGCTCCCACCTGCTAGTGCCTTTCTTCGGCGACATCACAGCGCTGAGGCACCTGGCCTGCACGCAGAGCTACGCGGAGGAGCTGCATCTGCTGGGCGCCTGCCTGGTGTTGCTGCTGCGGCCCTCGCTGCTCATCCTGGCCTTCCATGGCGCCATCGCCGCCGCCCTGAGCCACCTGCGCTCCCCACGCGGCAGGCGCAAGGCTGCCTCCACCTGTGCCTCGCACCTGGCCATCACCTTCCTCCACTATGGCTGCTCCACCTTCACGTACATGCGGCCCAAGGCCAGCTACTCCCCATGGCAGGATCGCACGCTGGCGCTGGCCTACACCAACGTCACACCGCTGCTCTATCCGCTCATCTACAGCCTGTGCAACGGCAAAATCATGGCCGCCACCCGCTGGGTGCTGAACCCCAGGGCAGGATCTGTGTGAGCCATGATAGCCGGCAGGGACCAGGCCAGGGGGGGCGGCTCTGCTCCCTAAAGTTCCCCCCTATCAGCAGGTGTCTGCACTGAGGACGCCACCGGGAGAGCTCAAGAACCGGATTCAGAAAAGAGAATCTGGAAAAGTGTCCCCCTAAGGAGAGTCTCCCAACAGTTTCCCCATCCTCCGCCAGTCCTGTGTGGAATAGAACCCTAGACCTGATTTGAGTGGATCCATCAGTACCTGTAGAGTTCTTCCCATGTGCTGGGCTTGGGCAAGGTAGCAGGCTTGTAGTGACAAAGAAGGCACAACTCATGCCCCAGGGAGCTCACGGGGAGAGAGGACAGATGTGAGGAGAAAACAGGAGATGGATGGAGGGGCTCATGCTAGACTTTTCCAGGGGAGAGGGGAGTCAGGGAAAACTTCTTGGGGGGCAAAGATGGCTCAGTGGAGAACTGTAGGATGGGTAGAGGTCAGCCAAGTGAAGAGGAGAGTGAAGAATGCTCTAAATGGAACTGGTTAAACAGGGGCTGGGGCATTTCGGGAAGGTCCTTGTAAAGGGCTGAAGGATTTGAGTTCATAGAGTGATACGATAGCTTGCCCCTCCTTGGGTGGTCGCTCTGGCCACAGTGTGGCGAATGGACTGGAGGCATGGAGACCCATGGAAGCTGTTGCCATATTACCGGAGAGAGGTGATGGAGTCTGGACCAGAGTGTTGACACAGCTGATTAAGGGACATGGAAAGAATAAAGAGATATGCAGGAGGAGGAAACCACAGAATCTTGATTGGATATGAGGGCGAGGAAGAAAGAGAAGCTAAGGATCATTTCTAACCTAGGTCACCAGGTGGATGGTGGTACAATCGCTGAAAAGGACACAGGAGCAGGTGCAAGGGAGGAGGGAGGAGGATGGGGACTTCTGCTTAGAACGTGTGGACTTGAGATGCTGCCACGACAAGCCAGCGAAGATGGCGACTGAGGAAGCAAATACACCAGTCTAGAGCTCAGGGGAGAGATTCAAGAGGGGGGACAGATTTGAGACTACAGACAGCTACTGAGACAAGGAAGTGATGCCACCCACCAGAAAGCTAATAATTGCTCTTTATGTGATAAGATTACAGGTGATTTATATTTTATTGATTATATATTTTCCAAATTTCTCATAATCACTTTCAGTGGATATTACTCTTATATATAAAAATTACTATTTAAGACAAATAATACTGGCGTGCCTCAGTGAATCAGAGAGACTTCTTCCCCTCTACCCCCAGGATGAATACCTGAAGGATGTCTCCTGAAGGCTCTGGGGTGAAGTGGAAGGGAATTCTACCACGTAGCACAAGAGCAGGGGCGCACTGACGTGCTCTCATCTACCTCGGTAGCTGGGTGGAGATATTACCGTCAAAGATAAAGTGAGGAGACGTTAAAAGGAAGAGTTACTAAACACTCTGCCTTGTAAAACTGACTAGAGAAATTCCCTCAATGTGACTATTTCTATACAGTGTTACTACATCAATATATCCTATAGTAAAGCGAACAAATTGGCACAAAACTTAGGCTACATTAGGAAAATTCTAAAATGTATTCCTTCATCCATACGTGCAACAAATAACTGTTTATTGAGTGATGGTTCCATGCCAGCGACTGGAGAGTTAAGGATTCAACTCTGATCAAACGCCACTGTACACCTAACACGGCATTCCAAATTATTGGAGCGATGAAGGTGAGGCCCATGTGGAGCTTGAAATCTGCTAGGGGATTCAGGCAAATAAATAGGCACTGCATTACTAAGTGATGAGTACTACGGTGTGACAAGATCCTGTTGGAAGCATTGTGCCTGGTCTTGGGGTGGTGGGAGCATCAGGAGGTTATGGAAGAAGTAATGTGTAAGATCTAAGGGCACGTTGTGATAGCTAGAGCCAGACAAAGATAGCTGAGAAAGGGGAGTCCAGGCAAAGGGAACAGCATGTGCAAATGCCCCAAGGTAAGAGGCCATGATACATTCCAAGGACTTGTCAAGAGGACTGATTCTTATTGATGGTGATGTTGGGAAGTGGGGTGCTGTGTGCTGAGAGGTATTAAGAGGTTATGCTAGAGGTACAAATGCAGGCCAGATCATGTAAGCCTTGTATGCCATGTTAAAGAGTTTGGATTTTACCCTAAAGAAGAATGAGAATAAAGAGGAGGGAAAGGAGAAAAAAGCAGGAGGAAGAGAAGGAGAAGGAGAAGAAGAAAAAAGAGAAGCCATTGAAGATATTTAAGCAGGGGAGTGATATGATCCAGTTTGAACATTCTGACTACTGTGTAGAGAAAGAATTGAAGAAGGACATGACAGAAAGTACATTTATTAGGAAGCTAGTGTAGAAACACAGGTTAGAGATGATGTTGGCTCATTTTAGGTAAGTGGTAATGGAAATGGAGAGAAATGGACAGATTTGAGAAATATTTAGAAGGTAGATATAATAGAATTTAGTGCAGATTGAATGCTTAGGGGTAAAAGGAAAAAAGGATTCACTGATGATATAGATTATCTGATCTGGAAAAGATGACACATTGGGCTCACTGAGATGGAGTACACAGGAAGAGTGACCAGTCTGAATACAGGACAAAGTTGAAATGATGAGTTCATTATTGACTATGCTGACCTGGGCTGTGGAGATGTACAGTTGGCAGTTGGGTATGTGTCAGGAGAAACATATTTAGAAATCATCCACACATCAATGGCAACTGACACGGCTGAGATGATCCAGGGAGAGTGAGCAGAGGAAGAACAGAGCAGTTCCAAGATAGGACTCTGAGGAAGACCAACAATGAAGGATGGATGACTGTCTAAGTATGACACAAATGCATAATTTATTAACTATATTAATAAAGTAAAAACTTCATTCCTGGGACACTACCCTAAACAAAATGAAAAGAGAAAAGAGAAACTGGGAAGATCATATCTAATGTATGAAAGAGGTTCATTTCATTAATACACAAGAAACTTTTGCCAATCAATGAGAAAAAGACTAACAATTACAAAGAAAAATGGGCAAAGGATATGAATAGGCAGTTCACAGAAAAGGAAATGCAAATGGATTTTAAACAGGAAAAGAGTTTCAACCTCACTCATAAGAGGAATGCAAAATAAAATTAGAAAATGCTATTTAGAGCACTTCCTGCTCAAAAACGTGAACACAGAGTTTGAAGGATATTTACAACAGACTCCCTCATACATAGTTGGTGGTAAAATATATTTGTTCAATTCTATGGAGGCCAATTGCGTACATCAATTAAAATGAGAATTAAAGAACGTACCATTTGTTCCAATAACTCTACTTTGGGAGTTTGACCTTACCAATGTATTTGCCTTGTGGACAAACATGTATGTTCAAAAATATTTATCTCAGCATTACTTGCATCAGCAAAAGATTAAAGATTTTTTAAATAGTATGTGACTGATGAAATAAATTATGGTTTTATCCCTATAATGGAATCTTATGCAATTGCTAAAGAGAATGAAGCAGTTCTATCTGTTATAGACCTGAAACCATCTCTCATACATGCTATTAAATGAAAAAGCAAGGTACATGAAAGTATGTACTAAGGAGTCATCCTTGATTCTGGCACATCTTTGATTCTGGCCTTTTCCTTATTATGTCCACTCCTGAAATGCTGCTCTTCATCATGCAGATGCCGTCTTGGCTCAGATACTGGCTTCTCAGAGAGGCCCTCGCTGGGCACCCTATATGTCACCTGTCTGTCGTCTCTCACATTAGCACGCCTTAAATTCTAATCATCTCTCATTACTGAAAATTCTCTGACTTTCTTTTAAATGACTTTCTTTTAAATTGTCTCTTCCTCCCAACAGAATATAAACTCTATGAAAATTGTCTACTTTACTCACATGGTCTTCCCGGGGCCTAAACAAGTGTCCGGCATGTAGTAGCTGCTAATTAGTAAACAGCAGTAAATTGTTAAAGAATGAGTGAATAAATAAATGTTACGGTATGATAGCATTTACATATAAAAACACACAGAATATCATGTGTGTATGAGCATATGTGTGTGCTTGTGTATGTCCTATAGTTTTACACCCTCACACACACACACATTTGTAATCAAATTAAGAGTCTGCGGAACTGGGTGACAGAGGTAGAGCAAACTTTTACTTTTTTTAATACTTTCCTTAAACACATATATGCATTATTTACTCAATAAATGTTTTCAAAAAAAATAAAGGCTAGGCAGAGGAAAAGAAATGCACAGAGGGGTTTTTTAAAAAGAGCAATCAAAAAAGTAGAAGAAAATCCAAGAGAACATGATGTCACGGAAACCAAGGAAAGATAATTTCAAGGATGGAGTGATCAACAGGGCCAAATGATACTCCTATTTCTAAATAATATGATGCTGGAGCCAGAGATGACTTTAGAGATGTCTAATTTGGCCCAAAGAGCACCAAGCCCACTCGTACAAACCTCAGCAAAGCGTGTGTAAAGGCGTGGCAGCCAAACTACACAGCCCACTTCCAGAAAGGCTGTCTAGCCAGAGATCATGCAAGGACTGCCTGACTCCAGCCAATACTGAAGAAACATGTAGAACCAACTCAAATTGTGCTTAATCACCTGCCGGAGTAGAAAGTAACACTGGCTTTCATTTTAAATGCTGAAATCATTAACACCGTTTTAAGACCTGTACCTGGGATTTGTTTTACTCTGGTATGGTAAGGTGGCAGACACAGAGACAACTGCCTTTAAAAGAAGAGTTTATAGCAAGGGAAGGGGGCAGGCCACACCACGCAGGGCCCATGGGGAAGCACCAGGTCAGTCAGGAGGCAGAAGGAGAGAGGAGAGAGCATGACCCTCAGACACTACTGTGGTTTCTGAGGAAGGAATGGATTAGGCAGTGTAGGAAAGCTGGAGGAAACTTAGGCTTGGATAGTTTGAATAATTTTGGCAGGCTCTGGGCCATAGGACTGGTCTCTAGCTGTCCAGTCTAGTTGACTTGGCCCTGAGGTGATAACATCAG